GTAGAATGTCCTTGGATACACTTGACCTGAATTAAGAACTAATATCATAGAAAAATGACGTTTTCCTTTTTATTTACTTCAATTTTCACAAGGATCGAGGTTCATACGAACCAATCACGTTTTATTTGGGGTTATTATATTATAAGGGACTGTAAAGGCAGATGTTTGTTTTACTTGGACTTGAAAACTTGTAAAGTTTATGATTGTACCCATAACTTTTTGTTACGTTTGGGGATCATTCACAAGGAAGCCTGTTCCATAGGGGTGTAGTTCCAGGAAGGAAGCTTTCAGCGTGGAACTTCCTCCTGAGAGATGGAGTATTGAGGAAGAAAGAGTGATTTGCCTCCGTAGTGGTAAAACGTGTCCTGGCCGCGCCGAGAAAGATCGAAGTTTGTTTACTCCTTATTTGTGTATCACAATCTGCGCTTTAGACAGGGAGTCTCCTAAACTTGGTTTTGACCACAAACCACCCCCGAACTAATGTATAGGTAGAGGTACAGCAACTGCCAATGTCATCTAGACGAAACACATCCACCAAATTTAAAAGCTCCCTGCCAACTGGCAGGCTCTACAGACCGGAACCAATTCCGCTGACAGGCGGACAGACGTGGGCTCAGCCTCCGCCCGTCGGTACTGATCAGACACGGGTAGTTCAATAACGTTGTGCAACTATCTACCCCTTTTTCTCACACCGTCTTGGCACACAGGGTAGTCTCCACTAGATTCCCCATGATTTGCAGGCTGACTAAATAGTAGAAATCAGCCTAAAGAGGGATATTATTGGTCAGGTTTCTGGCCACGGAGGCACATTGCACCTTCTAGTTGTAAAGTTCTATGGCCGGCTAACTCCCTTGGCCATTACAATTACACATAATATCCCGTTTTAGGCGCTAGGCCGAATTATTAATATTCAGGCTGCAAAAGAGGCTGGTACAGACTACACAAGGTACGGCTGCAATGGATGGGAGATAGCTATAGAAGACTAGACTTCATCAATTCGTCTGTTTCGTAAGGTTTGATCCAACTACTAAGCCTGGATGGAAGGCCTACACGGACCAGCTCCTCGGGTCCATGGCTAACATGCTCTGCTCCCAAGGAAATTTTACAGTAGCGCCCCTTGTACGCTGACATGTACTGTATTGTACGTGTGTCAGGCATCATCCTCTTTGCGCAATACCCCACTGTATACAGTTGCCTGTCCAACAGAACGTTTGAATTTCCTTCCACAGTGCACACTGGCACCTGCTGAAGATGACCGTCAAGTTAATCAGCCAATCAGTCCACATGTGGTTCTTGTATCCGGCGGCGAGCGATGCCTTCATGTCTACAATTACCCCAGACAACCGTACACTTACGCAATTTGGAGTCCTTATCAACACGTTTCAGTCGATAGGGTCTAACCTGAAGAGAAGACTTTGAAGTCGTGACAATGGGCAAGGATTGCCGTCTCATAAGGAGATAAGGAAGTCACAAAGTACTACAACCCTGTTAACCTCTCAAAACCCACACAGAGAATTGTTCTCATCAAGAGCTTTCGGCCAGCCACTCTGGTCCTCCTCAGTAGACTGACCCAGTGAGACTTGTCACGTGACAAGCCTCACTGGGTCAGTCTACTGAGGAAGACCAGAGTGACTGGTCGAAAGCTCCAGGTGAGAACAATTCTTTGTGTTGCATCAAAAGTTTTAACTTTAAACATAACTTGTATATGAGACGTCTATTGAGCTTCCCTTACCTTTATTTGTCTTGCCATTTAAGACGACGTCTAAGTACTGTCTGTGACCTTCCACGGCGTACACGCCGAAAAGCACGCCGGTAGTTTTCGGGGCCATCTTGACATTGGCCATGACGAAGACGTCATTTCCGGTATCCACGCCCCTCATGAGCTGGGTGAAGTACGTCCGGTTTGCTACCAAGCTGCAGGGAAGGGCAGATACCACTATTAGGTTTGGCCATCGAAGGCTATAGTTAAATACACTGAAACAAGGACTGATAAAAGTACTATCCCACATTTCAATCTCAACGATTCCTCTGCAACAGAGAGCCACAAGGGTCTGCCTCCCAAATATACAAAGAAAATAGGTGGTTGACCAGCTCAAACTCCAACAACAGCTGACAACAGTAAAAAAAAACCTACTTTTGACCTGATTTTTCTCATGTATTCATCCGCTCCTGGCGGACCTCATCACTCAGGTCTGTTATTATGCCCAGGAGTATGGAACAAAACTTGACTAAAGTAGGGAAATCTAGACCCTAACTGTTCCCTCTAGTCCAAAAGTCTCCAGCCTGGACCAACATTTTCAAGAGAAAAAGGGGTTTTCAAAGATATTAACTAGCAATACAATGGCCGGAAGGCACAAATGCAACAGGTGGTTTATTGAAATAGAGGGACATTTTAATCATATTAAAAAAAACGCGATTTGTGACAACTGATTTTTTGTAAGCACTTTACACCTGGCACTGTTGAAAGAATTGAGTAAGGCCATGTTGCTTTGACTATATGGATGACATCCTCTGGGAACCCCAAAATTGATGCGAGCGCGCGAGTAAAGAAAATTCAACAAAACAAAAGTTGCCTTCATTATGAAATCTACGTGATCATGAAGGTTGATCAAATGACGAAACATACAGAGTATGCATGGTATGGCAGATAATAGACTTTTCATTTTCATTTCTTCACATTTTGTTCTTTTCCTTTGGAATTGATTTTGGCATTCTGCGATATTAGTATCGTTTTCCGATCTTTTTTTTTCAATTTATGGCATGTATTTGCTCATTTTGTAGCTGCTTTGTACGATTTACAGTATGGTCGAAAACTGTTTTTTTTTTGGAAACGGACGAAGATTCATGCGCGTGCCTCATCCATATAATCAAATCAACATGGCCTAAGGATCGTGCACGGTACCTTGGCACGCGGGTTCCGTCGAAGCTGTAAGCATATCCAACGTCCGGAGCAAAACCCTTGGTCACCGTCACTCCATTCGGCAGAGATCCGTGCTTTTGGGGCAGCGTGTCCAGCAAGTCGATTTCTGTCAACAAGAAAGTTAAGATCGCAAGTTTTTTTTTATTCCAACATGTAATCACCAGACGTGGTGACGGCACACTCAAGTTTTTTCAACTTATATTAATGCCGCCACCAACACAGGGGACAAATACATGGCAGGACAGTACTCATTTTCACCTGAGCTAAGTGAGGAAAGTCGTGTAAAGTGCCTTTCCCAAGGGCACAAGATCGGTGGCATGTCAGAACTCGAACCCGGGACTCTTAGTTCCGAGTCGCGCACTCTGCCGCTACGCCACACGACCCCACTCATCGCAAGTTGTAAGATGGCATTTCATAATGTTAAGTTAATGACATTGAAAAAGGTAGCTGGCCTTGAATGAAGACTTAATAGAGAGATCATAGTTAACTAAAATAAGGCAAGGGAACAATGAAATAATTAGAGTTCCGAGGAAAGTCGCTAGGGCGCCCAAAATCTATTCGTTTCTTCCTCCAAGTTACCAAACCCTACCCGCATGTCAAATATGATAATGATTCATCTTTGCCTTCTCGAGTTATTCACGCACACACACACACACACACACACACACACACACACACACACACACACACACACACACACACACACACACACACACACACACACACACACACTCACACACATAGAGAGAGGGGGGAGACGAAAACATAACCTTCTTGTCGAATGTAATATTATTACATTCGACAAGAAGGTTAAAAGGCAATGAAACAACGTTATTTCCTCACATCATGTGTGCTATGGACCTGAAATAGTCTTCTATATATTTCAGTCCAGCTGATGTATTTCCTTTCTCCTGAGGAGTTGTGGGTAACCAGGAAACAAGGTCATGACCTTGGCGCCGACCTAGGGTAACCCCGAGTCCCGCTAAACCTGAGGAAACGGCAGGGCACTTCCGGCACATGCCGAAGACAGCGGGCCAGCCTGATTACCAAACCTGTGGTAGCCTGGGTGCCAGACTGTTGCCAGGGGCAGGCTGGCTCCGAAAATTTTACGACAGACCAAGGAGCTTCAGAACGCCCTTGGATAGACCTGCCCTTAGATAGACTCTGTCTCGAGAGGTAAATTAGACCCCCAGGTGCTGGGATCGGGCCTTGTGGCTTCCCCCAACCGAAGGGAGTGCTGTGTCGAACGGGGGTCTGGCAAATAGGCTATTTCTCCGGGCGGAAATGGTAACTCGGGCGTCCAATTTGAAAAAATTGGAAAAAAAACCAAGCAAATTTTGTTGCCTTCTGACAGTGGTAACCATGCCGAAATTGGGCAAACATGTCTGTTTTCGCCCGCTCGCTTTAGATTTTGAGTCTGCGGAGGATGTCATCTATAAAATTTACTTGCTGTGGCCTAGAGGGCCAGTAGTACCGTCGTTCGCCTTCCGTCTTTCTCAGAATATCTTGGATTGATATTGTTCAGGAATTGACAGAGGATGTGCTGGCAGTGCTGCAAAGCTACAAAACAGATGAAGACGTTACTGCTGCTCATTTAGAAATTATCATACTTTTTGGCCTACGCCTAGCTATGAGGCAAGGCAGAGTCCAACAAATGTACCATTGTCCTTGATGGCATACATTACACGTACACCATATGTTAATAACGTTCCTAATGCAACTAGACAAACCTTCCATCGAAAAACATACCTGTTCTTTTACCTCTACTATAACTGAAAAGCGAGGAGAACTAGTAAATGATAGTTTCAATTTGTATCCTCAGTTAACTGTATCTGTTTCTGTTCATTATGTTTTGTTGTGACCTGCAATTTATAGCTCAGTGTGGCAAAAATGTGCAAGATTAGCAAGAAAGGTCGTCATTCAGTGACCACATGCAAACCTGAAACTAAAAGTCTACAGCGACTAGACGTGGGTGGCCTCCAGCTATAGCGGTCCAGTTTAATCAACGGTCATATCGGATGTAGGAATGGTGTCATTCACTACCGGTAATGGACTCTTGATACATTGACCTGGAATTTCGTAATAGCCTGGACAATGTTTTTTTAGAAGTGTTTGTCTATTAGGCCATGTTGATTTGATGTTATGGATGACATCCTCTGGGAACCCCAAAATCGATGCGCGCGTGCGAATAAAAAAGTTTTGAAAAAAAAAGTAGTTTTATTTTTGTGAAACGTTCCTTGTTACGTTGGTTATTCACTATGCACAACTGATTTTGTATGATTTCAGATAACCAGTATTTTATGATTTATTACTAGATCTAGTATCTGCTAATTTGGGTTCATATATAATCAAATAGTACCTGGTTTCATTGCCTTCACTACAGACTGTATTTTGATTTACAACTTTACAGATCGTAAATCGTGTCATTAAATGCATCCAATGCAATTTCAGGGAAACAAAACAAAAAATATGACATTGACATTAACTGCAGTTTCTTAGCACACTTTCGTCATCATTTCATACTTCAAGCGTTTGAGATAGCCCCAAAACAAACCATGTGATGAGTCCCTTTATTTTAGGGGTACCACCCATAAATAGCTAGAACCAGCCTACGATACAAAACAAGCAACAGTTTTCCGTCAGATATCAATATGCTATGGGATAGGGTTGATCAAATTTACTACATTGAAGGAATGGCCAGAAAATTGACGGGTTTGCCGCCCTGAAATATTGCATTGGATGCCTTTAAGACCAGAAAATAAATGGTTTCAAGGCAGAGCAGTGACCCAGGGCGACAGGAGCTGTCATAGGCTGTGTAGGACCTCACATCCACAGGGGAAGTCGAGTTTCAGTTCCCATGAAACTTTGTCCCTCCCTAGGAGAATTACGCCTTTTCGGGGGCCAATTAAAGCGGGCTCTGGCACGTCTGATCGCGGTGAGTCTGTGTTCTCCTGGCCCCGAAGTCACCCCGTGATTCACGCGATTTCTCGCAAATGCCAGGCAACAGCGAAGAATCTTTTTATCACTGTCAAACTTGGGCGCAGATGTCTGAAACCAGAGCCTCGAATTTCCTTCTGTGTGTCAAAGGCGTTTAGGCAGAGATTTTTATCATTGCATATTTACATTATGATTCCTACGACAATCATACGTTATGGTGGAGGAGGGGTTTATGTGTTCCTTGGTCTAGCAGCCTACTAGATGGAGAGATAAATCACAAGTCTCCAAAGGCTAATGGCTCTCTAAAACTTTAGCACCGCGAGCTACTTTTATGGATTTTATGGAAGGCTTCCAAAATCTTATCCACCACCTGAAGCTTTAAACGTCTGTCATATATATAGTTCAGTTTAACTCCAGAAATGAGTTCTACGCACTCCCCCTCGTTCGTGGGGACATTTTACATGTTCTGAGACGGCCGTGGTCGTTCCAGATCGCTTTGTTCGAACCTGCCTCTGGACTTTCAGAGGTCACAAGTCACAGATTAGAGGACAGGAGGTGAGCTCCCCCCACAACACAACTGTTTCCAGATGGAGTAGGGATGAGCTCGAGCCGAGAGAACCGCCGCTCGTGGCACCGCGGCTCGTGGCACCGCCGCTCGTGCCACCGGAAATTGGAATGTCACATTAAAGAGATGGGGGACATAAAACTTTGCTTGGGGTCACCGCACTGTGGGGTCACCGAGTTGATTAAGCACACTGGTGGTAAGATACACATCAGATGAAACTGTGGGTACTGCGTAGATGTCGGAGTCAAGTTCTATTCTAGAAGTTTTTCTCGTCGAAAAGAGACAGCATTTTGAATTTCCGCCCCTCGTGGCGTTTTTTTTTATAAGGCATTAGGGGCGTGGCTCTTTGGGTTAATTAAGCACACTGGTGTTAATATGGGTATCAAATATAACAGTACGGGTACTGTGGAGTTGGTAAAGAGTTCTACTCTTAAAGCCTTCCTCGTCGAAAAGAGACAGCGTTTAGAACTTCCGCCTCTCGTGGCAGTTCCCATTATGAGACATTTGGGGCGTGCACGTGGCTCTTTGGGTTAATTAAACACACTGGTGTTACGATGGGTATCAGATATAACAGTGCGGGTACCGTAGAAAGGAGAAAGCCAAAAAGTTGTATTCTAAAAGTCTTTCTCCTTGAAAAGAGACAGCATTTGTAATTTCCGCCTCTCGTGGCAGTTTCCATTATAAGACATTGGAGGCGTGGCTCTTTGGGTTAATTAAGCACACTGGTGTTAATATTGGTATCACATATAACAGTACGGGTACTGTGGAGTTGGTAAAGCAAAAAAGTTGTATTCTAAAAGTCTTTCTCCTTGAAAAGAGACAGCGTTTTGAATGTCCGCCTCTCGTGGCAGTTCCACATTATAAGACATTGGAGGCGTGGCTCTTTGGGTTAATTAAGCACACTGGTGTTAATATTGGTATCAAATATAACAGTACGGGTACTGTGGAGTTGAGAAAACCAAAAGGTTTTATTCTAAAAGTCCTTGCCCTCGAAAAGAGACAGCATTTTGAATTTCCGCCTCTCGTGGCAGTTTTCCATTATGACGGACTTTGGACTCCAGCCCGACTAAGGACCCCTCCCGTAAAACATATTAAACTCAGATGGTCTTGTTTGCCCAACTGGTATAGAGACCAGGGCCAAATAGACAGGGTCAGACAGCATTTTGAATTTCATCCTCTCGTGGCAGTTTCCATTATGACTTAACTATGCCGGACTTTGGACTCCAGCCCGACTAGGCACTAAGGACCCCTTCCGTTAATGTTATCTCAGGTGGTCTTTTTAGCCCAACTCGTGTATGGAGACCAGGGCCTTGTGATACAGGCATTTATTGTTTTGTTTCTATGATTCCATAACTAAATATTCTTGCTATGTACAGCAATGCAGTCAGTAGCGGGGATAATCCATGTACTGACAGTCTACAGCCTGTCAATAGCAGGAAAAAATCCCGCGGGTGGTCGACGCCATCTTGGTTTGACGGCATTATAGAACCGCCGCTCGTGCCAGTGCCGCGAGCCGCGGTGGCATATTAAGCGGTTTTCCAAACCGAGGCTACCGGCTCGTGACGCGAGACCATCCCAGATGTCCAGATGTGGCTACTGTACTACGTCACCCCCACTACCTCCTCAAATAGACCGTTCTGCATCGTTCTTAGCCTGGTATCCAGTCTATCGTGGTTGGCGTAGGCTGTCTTCGGGGCTCTGATAGTTTTCACCCGTCCAGCTCAACAGGCCCCCTGGTGTTCGAGTTTAGTACGCGGTGAGGCAAATTGAAGTACCTCCCGGGGAACCTAGCTGAGTCGGGCGGGGAAGAGCTTCCGCTGCCCCGCCGAGGAGAACCCGCCCCAACCGCGATAGACTGGAGCCCAGGCTACACCGTTCTTTAGCTGATGGACTACGGCCAGGGTGAATGTCATCTTGAGGTCACCGCGATTCTGTCGTCGCCCGCGGCGGGCTGGCCTGCCTGGCAGGGCAGTCGGGTTTAAGCCCGTTTTAATTTTACCAGCATGAAGAAGTTTACAGATGGGAAGGGTTCAAGGTTGTTTATAGGATACAATTCCGTCCTTTTCCCATTTGGCAACCAGACAAGAGACGAGCTTTGGAAAGATCAATAGACAAAAAGGCCTGGAAACTAGTATCACCGAAGTAAACGTAGGGATTGAAGCTCCGGAAGCACACACGGCTTCTTCTATCTCTCTCTACTCAAACTTCACTGTAAAGCAGACCAATATTTCAATCAAACGAATCGGCCCACATGTAGCACTATTCTACTGTACTCTAGCTTAAAAGTGTCCTTTAACGTTGAAATTGCCCACAGTGTACGTAACTTGTGTGCGACTGGTCTATGTGAACATTGGGGAAATACTCCACAGGAGGCACCGTGCTGAAGGACTGATGTCCTTGGGGAGTTTACCTAGGCTAAACGCGGAGAAAAGAATTCTTTCTTCTTTCCGTGAGAGCTAGAGAAGAGCCGGTTCGTCGCACAGGGCTACAGTTTGGCCCAAATCGCCAGGTACGGGCTCTGCGTACCCGCTGATACGTCTAGACAAGACGACTTGTGGAGAAAAATTATCCAAACAGAAGAAAGTGGGAAACGTTGCACATCTAGATCGTTTTCTGCATCATTTGCAACACTTACCCAGTTATGGTTCTGTGGTTAGCACATATTTCACCAAAATGAACCACAAGATATAGAGCGCGGGCAGAGGAAGGCAAATTTCAGAACCGTCCAGTTCAGTGCTAGTTCCCCGGTGCCCTTATAAAACGCCCCACAGACCCAAGTTCATGTGGCCACTTACCGGTAACTCTGCCGACGCTCGAGCAGACCAGAGCCACGAGGACGATGGCGAGTGTGGGGAGCATTTTGTCGTTCTGTTATGGCTGGGAAGAAAGAGAACGGGCGCCAAGTCAGAGAGAGAGAGAGCGAAAAAAAATGGACAAGCAAAGTTTGCAGCGAACTCTCCATGGGAGACCCAACATCAACATAGAAAAACAAACAACGGTTTGTGGAGTGACTGCTCGTCAAAAAAACGGCTTCCCCCAAGTCAAGGGATAAAAACTCGTACCTGTGCTTGGTTCACTTCGCCTGTGGACCGGCCACACTGCGAGGGTGAGGGCGATGGGTTGAGTGGAGAGACCGGTCACGGAGGAGCCTTATAAAAAAGTGTGCTTATGTGTGAGTAGGTGCCAAGTCCTGCGCGGCGTTTGGAGCGGTGTGAGGCGGCTGGTAGTGTCAGCTGCTCCGGGGTACGACCGTCGGGGGGCCGGCTGTCAAGCAGGATTGATTAGGGCACCGACGCCTGGGGTACGAAGGACGAAAACGACAAAATTTGTGCTCAACGAAGGAATTGAATTCAACAGAGAAGGGACTAATTTCAACAGAGAATGAGCTAAATTCAACAGCGAAGGGGCTGTGCTCAGCGAACGTCCTGTGCTCAGCGAACGCACTGTGCTCAGCGAAGGGGCTGTGCTCAGCGAAGGCGCTGTGTTCAGCGAAGGCGCTGTGCTCAGCGAAGGGGCTGTGTTCAGCGAACGCACTGTGCTCAGCGAAGGGCTGTGTTCAGCGAATGCGCCGTGTTCAACGAAGGAGCTGTGCTCAGCGAACGCACTGTGCTCAGCGAAGGCGCTGTGCTCAGCGAAGGGGCTGAGCTCAGCGAAGGACCTGTGCTCGGTGCACCGTGGAGGCGCTGTGCTTTAGCGAAGGGACTGTGCTCTGAGTGTTGATGCCCTAACATCCCTAATTGTAGAAGATATCGCACAATTTTTTTTTCCTTGTCCAATCAGGCCCGACAGTCCTACAATTTATCCGACAGTCCTGCAATTTATGCAACAACCGGATTCAAAATAACAATCATGAACTTTCAACTTCAAGATGATTGTTATAAAATAGAGGAATGAATGACGACCTTTATTGGGCATTTCGCCACCCTTATAGTATATGTCACAACAAATCAAGACAAGACGAACAGATACATATACACAGTCTATTTGTATTTGTAAATCTTGGAGAGTGTTTTGGTTTATTACGGCCCCACGCACTATGAATGATACATACAGTGCAGTACTCTCCAAGCAGAGGTTTGGGTTTGGGGTTATTTTTGTTCGTTTTTAATTTTAGCCTTTTTTTATCGGGGTTTCTTTTTTGCACTGGAATTTCTTTTCACCCAAAAAGAACCTCGTTAAAAAGCCTACAAACACGCAAAATAACCCAAAACCCAAACCTCTGCTTGGGGAGTAACAGTGCAGCCCTTCTGGCTTCTCCTAACTGTTTTACTGGCTCCTTGGAGCTAGCTCTACGCACTATGAAAACATATACATGGATCACGTCACTTCAAAAAAAGTACCGCATTCCAGAATGATATAGCTTGGCTTAGATCCGTTATCCGCATTTGTAAATCTTGGATGATAGTGTTTTGGTTTTACGGCCCCACTCACTGTGATTGATACATACAGTGCAGCCACTCTAGCTTATAGAGCTGTTTTACACGCATTGACTGTACTATACTTATTAAGTGTTTTTGAAGGTGACGCGAACCATGTGTTTGTATTCATACTACGTGGGATATCCCAAACTTGTCGTGTGCTCTCCATGGCGTTTGGCGTAGGAAAGCTGTTTGACATCTTGTAATTTGTATCAAGATGACTTTAGTGATTGTGTTTCTAGAAAATTCAATTCCGTATAAAAGCGTAAAAGTTGTCACAAGTCCTTGGTTGTCAAAAGACCCACCCTAATCCAAAGCTCGAAATCACCTAATGACCTTTGTCAACCGCTTAGGGACGATTGGCACAGAGGTGCGATTTCCTGCATTCCGCACGAGTCTCAGCATGAGAACAATAGCGGTTCATTGACAATCAGATAACAGCATATTGAATAAATAAAAAACTCGTAAAAAGTTTACTAATATTATATATAATAGTAAATTCCAGTGTTGGCAGCGTACGTGTCTGGTAAGAATCTTCTTTGGTTGGTGTTTCATTGTAGCAAAGGTAAAAGATGGTCTTGTGTCGTAAGAAAACAACCCCCTTGTACAAAGGAATGTATCAGACCGAAGCACCATGAAAAGCACGAGACCATGGTCTCTGTTTAGTACAATGGTTTGGGCGATCCCACGCAGGATGACTACAAACACATGGCTCGCGTCACCTTCAAAACACTTTAGTACAGTCAACTAAAACAAGAGGTCGAAAGGTTTGCACTGTGTGTATTATTCACAGCAAGTACATTATACATTCTGTACAGTGTCCTTTTGTTCATAGTTAGTGGGGCCGTAAACCCTATCATCCAAAATTTACAAATGCGGATAACCGATCTAAGCCAAGCTATATCATTTTGGAATGCGGTACTTTTTCTGAAGTGACGTGATCCATGTATAAAGCGTAAGAGCTAGCTCCAAGGAGCCAGTAAAACAGTTAGGAGAAGCCAGCTGGGAGAAGCCAGAAGGGCTACACTGTTACTCTCCAAGCAGAGGTTTGGGTTTTGGGTTATTTGCGTGTTTGTAGGCTTTTTAACGAGGTTCTTTTTGGGTGAAAAGAAATTCCAGTGCAAAAAAGAAACCCCGATAAAAAAAGGCTAAAATTAAAAACGAACAAAAAATAACCCCAAACCCAAACCTCTGCTTGGAGAGTACTGCACTGTATGTATCATTCATAGTGCGTGGGGCCGTAATAAACCAAAACACTCTCCAAGATTTACAAATACAAATAGACTGTGTATATGTATCTGTTCGTCTTGTCTTGATTTGTTGTGACCTATACTAAGGGTGGCGAAATGCCCAATAAAGGTCGTCATTCATTCCTCTATTTTATAACAATCATCTTGAAGTTGAAAGTTCATGATTGTTATTTTGAATCCGGTTGTTGCATAAATTGCAGGACTGTCGGATAAATTGTAGGACTGTCGGGCCTGATTGGACAAGGAAAAAAAATTGTGCGATATCTTCTACAATTAGGGATGTTAGGGCATCAACACTCAGAGCACAGTCCCTTCGCTAAAGCACAGCGCCTCCACGGTGCACCGAGCACAGGTCCTTCGCTGAGCTCAGCCCCTTCGTTGAACACGGCGCATTCGCTGAACACAGCCCCTTCGCTGAGCACAGTGCGTTCGCTGAACACAGCCCCTTCGCTGAGCACAGCGCCTTCGCTGAGCACAGTACGTTCGCTGAGCACAGCCCCTTCGCTGAGCACAGTGCGTTCGCTGAGCACAGGACGTTCGCTGAGCACAGCCCCTTCGCTGTTGAATTTAGCTCATTCTCTGTTGAAATTAGTCCCTTCTCTGTTGAATTCAATTCCTTCGTTGAGCACAAATTTTGTCGTTTTCGTCCTTCGTACTGGGGACACCGCGGGATGAGGAATCGGAAAAGGGAGGGGAGATCCGGGTCGCTGTACATCTGCTTCGCGAGCTAAAGGATATCTTTTGCATAATAGTTAATATCTACAGGAATTTCATATAATGATAAAAGAAAAATGGTATGAAGCTAAATATTACACACATTTTGATTTTATTATAATTAATTATATAATATATTATATAATTATTTTTATTATAATATATTATATAATTAATTACTTTTTTTATTAATTTATTATAATTAGTTATAACTAATTCTGGAAGTGTCATACAATGCATACGGTTGTTATGGGAATATGTCAACGCTATTTTACACTGATGGCATCGATGGTAGCTGAGACATATCGTGGAAATGATTTTTTTATCGAACATTTTTAGACCTTTTTCAAAATCTGTAATTTTTTCCCTCCAATGTTACATTTGACCCCAAAGTTTACTTGTAGTCTATTTGAACGGTAACTTATAGAGTTATGTATAGTAACTTTAAAAAGTGTGACGTTTGGTATGGCATGCATGCATATGATCCCATTGACAAATTGTACAATTGACGAATAAAACACTGAAGAACGATCTCATATAATGTGTATAATATTAAAGTAGATCGTTTTCCAGACGGCTCGGTCCCGTTTTTGTGAATGCAAGTATCTACTGTGCATATTTTACATTAAAGGTCTCAGATATGAACTTGAAGTTCTTTGCTCAGACTAAAGGTATGCCAGGGGTGCCAGAGTATGCAGTGCAATTTTACGGTATATAGTGCAATTTTACGGAATATAGTGCAATTCTACGGAACACTGCACAGTGCAATACTGAGCCATTTTACGGAATACAGTGCAATCGTATTAGTATAAAGTATACGACTGTCGTAAACTTTTACGGAATACAGTGCGATCGTATTAGTATACAGAGCAATTTTACGGAATACAGTGCAATTACTAGTAAAATTGCACTGTATTCCGTAAAATTGCACTCTATTCCGTAAAATTGCACTCTATTCCGTAAAGTTGCACTGTATACTCAGTGACTCTGGCACCCCTGTATGCGCTCCCATTGAAACTTTGAAGCTTACATTTTTGCTAATTGCAGGAAAGAGTGGGAGGGCGCGGCGCCTCTACTGGGACCCCGGCCAGACGAGACGGGATCATTACCGTGATTAAAGAAGCGGAATTTTAAGGTTTATCAGGAAACGATTAGGTAAATCTGGAGATAACCCTGCGGCCGAATCGTCTTGTTGACGGAAATGAGTCCGTCTTGGCAGACTTGATACAGACACTGAACATCTGGTATACACGTACTCTCCAAGCAGAGGTAGGGTCGCTCGGTATTTTGGCAGTATTTTCGCGTTTTTAATACGTCTTTCTACTTTTACGGTCTTT